TCGATTGTAAGTTTGATAATGAGATGGAGCGAGTGCGATCGGACGTGAGATCGATCGTAAGACCGAACATGGAATCGATAGTGTGATCGACAATGAAATCGATAGTGAGATCGACCGTGGCATCGATAGTGCGATCGGTAGCGAGATCGATAATGAAACCGGTGACGATATCGATTGAGTGAGACGTTGGTTCCTCTCCTCCCGAAGGTTGGCGGTATAGGTGTCTAGACTTATGCACATACATGTATGAATACTCCTCTTCCTATATTTTGATAAGCCCAGGCGGGGGGAAAACCCGCCCCCCCCCCCCCAAAACCGGACTCCCGGGACCTGGGGCTTTGGGGCACTCCGGACGGGCTTTGAAGCGGCCACCGGGCCTCGCAAGGCGTTTTGCCAAGCCTTCCCAGCACACTTAGGGCGATCAGGGGGGTCATCGGAGACGTCCCAGAGACCCCAAGACAGCACAAGAGCGCTCCAAGAGTGACCGACGTGACCTCAAGATGGCCCAAGAGGCCTCCAGGACGGCCCCAAAGAGGCCTCCAAGAGCACTCCCAAGAAGGCCCCCCGAGGCAAAAATCATTGATTTTCTATGGGTTTTTGGTGAATTGTGGGGTTCTCCTCTTTTCGGCTTCCCGACGCTCCAAGACGGCGGTCTTCTGGGCGTCCGAAGCCGCCTGGGAGGTTCCCAAATCGCCCCGCAACCATCCGAAAAGGCTTCCAGGCAGTCCAAGAAAGCCCCAAAACGGCACAACACGGGTCCAAGATGGCCCTCAGAGAGCCCCATGGCGGCCCAAGATGGCCCAAAGACACCCTCCGAAGAATTCCAAATCGTGATTCGGTCGTTCAGGGAGACGGCGGTTGGAGGCAGGGTGGCCCGAGGAAACCCCCAGAGGCCCCCAGAATACGCCCAGGAGGCCTCCAGAAGGCCTTAAGAAAGCCCGAAACAGCTTTTGTGAGGCCCCTAGAGGCGTCCAAGGAGGAGCCTCCGCAAAAAAGAGCTGAGGAGGATGGGGAGAATGCGCAAGGTATGGCGAAAATAAAGAACAATAGCCATGGAGGAAGGATAAGGAATAACATCATTATAGCGGCGATGCCGGAAAACGGCAACCAGGAGTTATCGCTAAATTGTCGGCTTGACCTTCCTGCCATTCCGCCTGCATACCAAACTTCAAGGACCAAGGTGCATGGCACGAAGCGCCACTGCAGTCTTGTATACGTATATAATACATTGAAACATAAGATACCTTCATGGATGCATACATACGTATGTGTATATATATATATATATATATATATATATGTGGATAGATGGACGTATGGACCAATATATAACACCAACAACACATAATAGTATGCGTGGGCGCGTGCGTGCGTGGTGCAATCAATGTGGTGCCACCTGCTCGGTGTTTTCTATGGGGCGTAAGCTGAGCGTGGGCGCGGAAGCGGCAGCAAGCCCACCGGGCGGCCAAAAGGTGGCCACGAGCGCACGGGGCGGCGGCGGATATGAGGCGGCAACATGGCAACCCCGAGCGCCCGCCGGCAAGAACTCCGAGATGCCAGCCGGAATATCAAAAATCCGGGGCCCCAGTGACAGCAGTGTGTGGGGCATGAATATGATGTGCGTGTGGCTCGCTCTCCCTGTTTCTATCTCGCACTCTCTCCCTCCCTCTCCCTCTCTCTCTCTCGCTTTCTAAACGGTACGTCGTTCGTTCGGTCCTTCTCTCTATCGCTCTCTCTATCTCTGTCTCTCCCTCTCTCTCTCTCTGCCTTTTCTTCCACTGCCTCTCTCTTTCTCATTCTCGCTGTATATGTATGTACATTTGTTGATGGAACGCTATACACATATATACATGTTTGTATACATATGTGTATATACAGAATGTACACGTATGTGTGTATATCTCCGCCCCTGCTCGTAGCATAAAGCAAGCGTTATATATCTTGTTATGCCACACCTCTCTCTGTCTCCCTCTCTCCAACTCTCTCTCTCTCTCTTTCCCTCTTTCCCTCTCGCTCTCTAAATTGTAGAAGTGTCACCCACACATGATTTGCAATCCCTTCCTCTCAACATGCTGTATCTCTCTCCCCTATGATATGTCTCTCTCCCTCCCTTTCTCTCTTTCTCCGTGTCTCTTTCTCTCGATATCCCTCGTCCTCACAGCCAGTCCCAACACCGACGCGCTACGAAACACAAGGACGAGGAAGGGGGGGAGGTAAGAAGGCTACCCGCCCGGCGCCCTGCGCCGCAATACACCGCGTGGCTGGACGCCGGCCGGCACCGTGTCCAACAGCGCAGGCGCCACGCCCAGCGCCAGCTGCACGCTGACTTGCATGCGCCATTTGGCACGCCAGCGCGTCGGCAGCAGCACGCGCTCGCGCTGTCTGTGCGCCGCGAGCACGGCAAGCTCGTCCAGCAGGCCGTCCAGGCGCCTGTCGATGCGCCCCCAGGTTTCGACGGCGCACGGCAAGACGACCTTGCCCACCGTTGGAGGGTAGCGTTCCTCCTTGCAACGCGCCCCCTCGTCGGCAGCGGCGCCAGGGCGCCTCGAGGCAGCCTCGAAGATGCGGGCGGCGGCCGGGTGCCGGACGGCGCCGTCCAGCAAGCGATCTGGCGCGGAGGGGTGGCAGAACAGCTCCACGTCGAGCACGGCATCTCCCAATACCTCCCTCCCATCGCGACGCCGCCTCCAGAAACCCAGCTCGGGCACGACCTGCTCGAGGAGCGCGGCGTACCCAGCGTCGCGCCCAGCCTGCGCTAGCACGCCGTTCAGCGAGTTGTGCCGGGAAGGCGCTTACGGGCCAACGTTGCACGTGGCGGCGTGGTCTTCGTAGATGTCCAAGTCCTTGCCGCACTGCCTCGACTGTTTTTTCGAGATCTTGTGCGCGCGCTGTAAGCCAGCGGGGTGCAGCGGCAGGCCGAGCTGGAACTTCACCGCCATGACGAGCCTGTTGTCGTCTATCTGCGGCCACAACGACGTGGGGAGCTGCGTGAGCCACCAGCTGGACTCCGGCCCAGCGCAACTAGAAAATCACGCAAGGTCCCGCTTCGAGCCGGCCAGGCGGATTCGCAGGGCAGCGCGGGACGCAAATTCCAAACTGTCCAGCAACGCGTGGTGCACCTTGCGAACTTGACCGCGAGACAGCGCCTCAGCAATGATGCCAGTGATCGGCGCCTCCCTGGTGACAACGACCCCGCCGTGCTGGATGTGAACACAAAGCCCGCGGAGCGTACCCAAGCAGAAGGTCGCGCCGCCTGTGTCCACGGCCCTGGCGATGGCATCCCGGCCAAAACCCAAATAGAGCAATCGCTAGGCCACAACAGGCAGAAATTGGCACGCTTCGGCAAGATGGGAGAAGAGCGCCTTCCGCTTCGCACCGAACAGATCACACCCACCATACTGCGCAGAAAGCCGCAAGCAACATTCCTGCACGGCCGAGAAGCCGTCAGCGCGAAACAGCCGACAAGCAGTACTCGACACAGCGGCGTCCAGTCGCTCCGCTTGCAAGGTTGGAGAAAGACTCTAGATGTGAAATGCGGGCGTCGTAGTCCAAAGCTCTGCTGAGGACTTTGTCAAGTAGCGTCCACGCTGCTCGGTGCGAGGGCTGAGCGGGAGGCGTGCGAAGCATTGTTCCCAAGATGCGCGCACGCCCCTCGGCCTGCGCCGTGCGCATCTCCGAGGCGTGCGCATCAGCACAGGGCGCCTACGGAGGCAGCGCGCGGTCTGTTAAGCGCACCTCCCGTGAGCTCCAAGCCATCACAACTTGAGGTGGGCCCACCCTGGCGAAGAGGTGGGCGAACGTCGCCTGGGACAGCCGCTGGAATCCACACCTTGCTTTTGGATAAGTTGAGACGCAACTTTGCGGAAGCAAGGGCGTCGTTCAGCAGGGGTAGCCAGATGCTTGCCATGCAGGGGTCGAGTTTCATTAGCATGTCGTCCATATACTCCAGGTGCACCAGCGCGCTTGCGCCTGCAACAGCGCACGCCGAGGCCGAATAGTTCTGCAGAAAACGCCGCAAAGCACGCAGGAGGCCAAGACACAACAATAGCGGTGAAAGAGTGCGCCATTGGTAAAGACCATCACGCATGAAGATACATGTCCAGGAACCAGCACCAGATGCAACATGTATCGGCGTCCCCTGCGTCCCCCACATGCTAAGAAGGTAAGGTGCCAGGTGCCAGCTCTGGCAACTCCTGAAGTACCTCTTCCTTGACCTCGGCCGTGACTTCTCGCCGAAGGCATTGTGGACGTCGAGTGCACAGAGAGCATCATGTGGGCACAGCCTGGACAGCGCTTCGGCGATATACAGGAAAGTTTCGGGACCAGCTGGCGCCCCAAGCCCAATCTGACTGCCCGAGAACAGTTTCTCGGCCTTGTACCATGTAATTTCTCCATCTCTCTCTCTCTCTCTCTCTCTGTGTTTCGCTCTCTCGCTCGCTCTCTCTCTATCCTTTTCTTCTCTCCCTGCGACGCTCACTACATGACTGTATGCACATACTGCAACGAGGGACAGAGAAGGTGCTTCGTGTGAAGAAGTCGCCCGCACGTGTTGACCACAAAGACTGGGGTCTGTGGCAACGCCACGGAAAAATGAGGCTCCCCCTGTTCAGCCTTCTCGGCGCCTGTAGAAACACTGTGAGGGTGAGTTTGTCGGCCGACAAAACTAACTATCGGCTGGGTTCCAAAGATGGCGCCAAGAAGGCTCCAAAAGGGTCCTAAGAGGCCTCCATCATTCTACGAGAGTCCTACAGCGTTTCACTAGCACTCGATGCTCGTATCTTGGGTCTGCACTGAGATAACGATGAAACAGCAAGGGATATTTGGGATGATGCTGCGACGTCTGCTCTGAAGGGCACTAGCCGCACCCAACTCAAGACTTCTTCCACACAGTACTGTTGATACTGCAACGATGGGGTGCGCGATGCGATTCAAGCCATCATACCCGAATGCCTCCGGTGGTGGCGCCTACTGGCGGACAATACATCCGAGGCCCTCCCTACCGGATAGCCGGTGGAATTTGAAAGGATGACGGCCACAGCGCGTACGAAAAGATTTCGCCTGCCCGTCCACTCGCCATGATGATGCTGATGATGCTACTGGTGCTGGCTCGAAGCTTACCTCTCCGCTGCCGGTTGCTGCGTGCGCCATGTATACAGAGTGCGAAAAGCAGGCGCCAGTCATGCCAAAAAGACGTGTTGATACTGCTGATGACGATGATCCCTATCATCGTCATCCTCCTCCTCCTCCTCCTCCTCATCATCCTTAGCATCAGCATCATATTCATCATCATCACCACCATCATCATCATCAGCATCATCATAATCAGCATCATCATCATAATCATAATCGCATCGTCATCGTCATCGTCATCATCCGCATCCTTCTCCTCCTCCTCATCATCCTCATTCTCACCACCACCACCATCATCGACATCGTCGTTGTCGCCTTTGCACCTGGGCGCTGGCTTCCCAGAGCAGCTGCAGCCTGGCTCGAGGCCGCCGCGCCCTTCCCGTCCTTCCTCCACCCGAGCAGGCCGCAGCCGCCCTGCGGCCTCACTGGAGCCTCCCGCTGGCCCCTGGGGCCTCCTGCGGCCTGGGAGGGGCCCCGGGCCTTCTTGGGGCTATCCTTCAGGGCCTCCGGCCGCAGCGGCGGCAACGAGCGCTGCGCAGGGGGACGGCGCGGAGGCGCGCCGCAGACGGCGGCCTGTGCCAGCGGGTCACCGTGGAGTGGCGGCGCGCACAAGCGGGGGGGGGCGGGGGAGTGGCGAGGGCTTCTCAGGAACCAGCGGCTGCTCCTCAGAGGGCGCCGGGCCGGTGTCTGCAGAGGTAGGGCCCGCGCCCTCTGCGGAGCAGGGGTGCTTCCAAGAAGCCCTCCCCCCTGTGCCCCCCCCCTTCTGCGCGTGGCTGCGTGGAGGGGGATGGGGCGGCGCGCAGGCGGGGGCGAGACGCCCCGAACAAAGCGCGCGCGCGCGCAGTGGAGGCTGCCGCTCCACCGCGGCGGCGCGGGCCCACAAGCGGCGGGCCGCAGCACAAGGCAATCGTCGAGGGGGGCCCACGGGCAAGGCGCCACGGCGCGAGGCATCTCTGGTCACGGCCCTCGGCCGCCGGGGCCGGGGGGGCCCACCAGGTGCGGCAGTGGGCCTGCGCGCGGCACGCGAGGAGGCTGCCGGTGGCAAGGGCCGCGATGGCTGCGTGGCGGGCGGCACAGCGGGGAATGTGGCGCACCCTCCTCGCTGCCCGTTCCTCCCGTTCCGCGCCCATCGGTGACGATGGACGCGGAAAGCGACGATGGCGGCGAAGGCCTCGATTTGGAGGCTCCGGCTCTGGGGTCGGCGTGGCGACGCGGACGGCTGGCACGCGGCGGCAGCGCGCGGTGGGCACGCTGGCCGCGCGCTCCTTCCAGGGCTGACACGCGGCGGCAGGTGGCGATCGGGCGCGCGCAGCGGCGCGCGTCTCGCGCGTCCGCGCCGCTCGCCGGAGTGGCGTGGCGAAGGCCGCAGGCGGGGCGTGAAGGTGGCCGCTGCCCCCACTCCGCTACTGTGGGCGAGAGCATCGTCACTGCCCCCACGTCGCCACTGCCCAATGGTCAAGCGGCGGCGTCCGCAAACCCTGCAACAAGGTTGCCATTTCTTGGAAGGCAGATTCTTGCTTCCGCGAGCTTCCCCCAGCGGAGCCGCCCTCGTGTTACTCCCTCTGGCTTCCGCCGCCCTTCCGCCACCATCCGCCGAGGAAGGGATGCTAACTTCTCGATCCCTCGAAGACAAGGCCCCTTCTGGAATGCTCAAATTGACCAGCGTGCTCCTCGGGAGGTGGAACTGCGCTGGTGACACCGTGCGGTTGGAGGGGCGTGCTCCACCATGGGGGCGCGAAACAAGGCCTGGGCTCTGCGGGCGCGAGGTCGCGTCGACCTCTCGCTGTGCGGCAAACAGTCGGTGGTGTTGGATGCGGTAACGTCCATCGTCGCTTCCTCTCATGAAACTCACCTGCCATGAGGTCTGCCACACCAATCATCTTACCGGCTCTACGCTCGCAGTACATTAGACCCTTTCAACAATCAAACAAATCCAACACATGCTCGCGTAAGGTGACTGCGGCGAACCACCCGTTCGCCGAGGATCAAAGAAATGTCGGCGCGCTGTGGAACTTCCTCGCGCTGGGGATGCCGCTGCGGATGCGCGCTGCCGCGACCCGTACGACTACGGCGACGACCTGCAGCGGCGGCGGAGATTCGGCCTCAGCGCGGCGGCCAGAGAGACCAATGCCCCATGCGCCGTCGGACCGCGCCTAGCCTCAGCGCCGGTGCCAACGCACCCGGAAGCGCCCAACGGCATACATCTCCGTACAGCTCGAGCAGGAGAGACCGCTGGGAGGATCCAACTCGGCAGGCAGCACCTGATCCGAACCAGGATCTGGGAGCTCGAGTCCGGCGCCGAAGCGGCGGGTGGCAATCTTCGTGGGCTCACTCTCGTGCAAGGGCAGGAGGCACCGTCGCGAGCCTCGACGACATACACGTGACGGACTTCGTGGCCACGGGCTAACACCTGCGCAGCTGTGCCTCGCGGCACTGGACGGACGGGCTGCTCGCCAGCTGCGTGGACCAGATCTTCTGCGACAGAGGGCTGGCAACGACGAGGTCGCGTCTGCTGGCCTCAGTACAGATGCCGCCTCCAGCAGATGCCACTGCCAAAGTACAGGGCGTTCCCGTGCGCGGGCCTCGCCAGCGACCCGCGGGAGGCCGACCGCCGCGTGCGCCATGGCTGGCAGCGAATGCGCCGATGGCGAAGCTGGGTTTGCTAAGGGCCATGGTAAAGCACAAGCTTGGCACGGACGTGACCCGGACGCCGAGACACGAATGTCTCCTCGGCGAGGCGGGCGGCCACCCGTGGCAGCTCACGGAAGAAGCAGGCGCGCGGACAGGCCTAGAGCAGACACGCGCGGACCTCAAACAAAGCTGGGTGCCAGCGCCACGACGGCTGTGGTATGGCCGAAAAAGAATCTGGTCCGATCAACGACCCAGACGGTACCAGCCATGGCAAGTCACGAAGGGCCGCGGCGGTTCGACATGCCTGCAGGACAAAAACCCGAGGACCACAAGCCAACAAAACACGCCATCGTGGCTCGGAAATGAACGAGAAAGACGAGGGCAGACAGCGCATCGTGGCAGCTGGACGCCACGCGACACTTCGAGGGCTGCCCGCCTACGGTGTTGCAAGTACGCGTCGCGACGATGTCAGCGCTGATTGCTGATACCGCGTGGACCACTTACTTGAATGATCGCGACTTTCCGATTGCGGGATTCGATCCAAATCGGCAACTTCCATTGGCTACGTTCAACCTTGTACGCCCGCGCAGGCGTCGCCATCGCGTCAACGACAAGGCTCGACTGATGAAGCCAAGTATACGCAGAACGCACGCATACATAACCACCTGCATGCCGATGTAGAAAACTTCTTGCTGAGCATGTTGTGTAGATGCCTTCTGCGGAAATGATTTCCATCTCCTCCACGGGCACATTCAGAGTGTATGCAAGCTCGCCCCTTCTAGTGCTGCGCATCTGACTGGCAACTCTCGTCTCGCCGTGCTTGCGCCGATGATCACGCTCATTGGCCTCACGCTCGATCTGTGTTGAGGCCACGCTTGGTCTCACGCTTGGTTCTGCCCGCTGTTTCCTGCAAAAGAACCAATACTCATCCGCTTTTGAAACATCATTATCGCATTCGCCGCAAAAGCCATCAACGTCATCAACCCCATCGTCTTTACATCGTGAGCATTACCGTCACCGTTATCAAAACCATCAACACCATCGTCTCCATATCGTTCGTCACCGTTATCAAAACCATCATCGTCACCGTCATCAAAACCATCAACACCACCGTCGCCCTCGTCATCGGCTCTAGCCTTCAGCGGACATCCAGACGGAATCACCAACATCAGCATCATCGCCGTTGCCATCGGCATTGCCGCTGTCATCGTATCGTCGTCGCGGTCGTGATCCTCATCAGTCTTGACCTCGTTTTCATCCTCTTCAGCAGTAACTGCAACGTTGTCTCTCTCTGCCTCCCCCTCGGCGAAGAACGATAATAGTATGATACAGGAACAGCGGGAACTGAACTAACATCCGTCAGCGAGCCGGTGAGCTCAAGTGGACTGACAGAGACATATGAGGCACAAAGAGAAATGACATCAAAGCCCTGCGTCATCGACATCCGACACGGCAAAATCGAAGAGCCAGAAAACACCAACATCCGCCCTGACGAGCGCGACGTCGAGTCGACAAACGCAACCGAATCTGAAACTTCTGAAACTTCAACCAGCCCAGCTTGCCCAATATGAGGCCGCCATGCGTCCTACTCCTGATGCTCCCCCTACCGTCAACCCGTATAGTAATGATGCGCGATAAGAATGCAAGGGCCTTGGGCGCCCATTTCGGAGCTTCTCGAGCAAGGCGCGGCCAACGAGAGTGACCAAGGATGGACCGAGGAGGCAAGGATGCGAGGGTACCCTTGGGACGATTGCCCATCCTTACTATGCAGATTGACTGCATTCCCTTTCCCGCTCCTCCTTCAAATGCGCTGGTAATGCCCCATGTTCCCTCTGTCGTGCTCCGCATGGTTTTATCATCGCTGCTCACCGTCCTCGTCCGAAACTCGTGGCGCGACGATTCAGCGGCGCGCGGGTTCCACGACGCCTCACATCCGTGGCGATTCGAATGCGTCGGGCTCCCCAACCACCTCACAGGATGTCGGAAATCATTGTTGTCCTTCGGACTGTTTGTGATGGTTTTCAGGTGCGCGGGAGGCAACAGACACATCTCGAGCTGCGATGGCCCTCTGAACAGAAGGTCGGCGCTGGCCTCCCGCGCGGCCAGCTTGCTACCAACATGCGCGGTCACGGACCCCGCCAGTCACGCATGCTGCGTGACTGGCAGGTCCCGTACCTCAGAGCCCCGCGACTCCCAGCGCGCCCACCAATGCGTCGCAGGGACCGTTGGATCCCCGCACCCCAGACTTTCGAGCAGAGGAAATGATCACATCTTCGCGATGCGAGGGAAGCACTGCAACCCCGAGAGGGGCACCGCTGACCCCACGGGAGGCTGCTCCAGGCACAGAGCAAAGGCGCATCTCGAGTGGCAAGGCGGGCAACTGGAGCACCGGGAGGCGAATCTCCCGCCCCATCCCACATACCCCAAAGGGAACAGATCTACAACAGATCGCGGCGGCCCCAAACAAACAACGGAACAAAACGGCAGCGTGCCACCCCACGGAGCCCACAGCATGACAAGTCACCGAAAGCTGAGCAACCTCAACAACCAATTTGAACAACAGGTGATACAAAAACACCAGACCCCCACACAACAAGCGAGACAATCACTGTTCCAGAGCTCGAGCAAAACAACCATACCTGAAACCCTCGCGCCAAGACAACTCCCGCTGCCAACGTCCCTCACTGAGGGGCAGCTCTGCGGCAATGCGGCCCGCTCGGGCGATCCCCCGCTCTGCGAGCGCCCCTCCTCTCGCTCCGGAGCGGCCCCCGGAAGCTGCAGGGCACTCCCCGTGCACTCCCGGGCGCGCCGAAACGCCGTGGGCGCCCGGGCCTGCCCCCGTGCCTCCCCAGCACCGCGCCTCCGCGCACCTCCCGGGCGCCCCGCGTGCGCGACCCCCGAAGCGCTCGCCGGCGCTCCCAGGTGCCCCTTCTGAGCGCTCACGGGCGCCCCCGAGGCGCCACGCTCTGCAGGCAGAGTCCCCACGGCGCTGTCTGACTGCCCCTGGCGGGGACAGCCGACCTCCGAGCGCTCTGCGTCGGGCGCCGCCGCGCGGCGCTGGCCCGAGGCGCGCTCGCCGAGGAGCGGAGGGGGGCGCTCCCGGCCACGGCGAGCCGCAGCCACGCAGAGGCTGCCCGAGCCAGAACTGGAGGAGCGGCCCACGAAGCAGCGCCCCGCCGGAGCCAACAGAGGGGGCCAGGGGCGAGCCTCAGCTGCGAAGAGGCTCCCCGGCCTGGATCTCGGAGGGAGCGGCCCACGAACCAGCGCCCCTCCCGAGCCAACAGAGGGCCCCTCGTCTCGGCGTGCTGGCCGTGCTGGGAAGTCTCTCAGGGGCCAGGGCAAACCAGAAGCTCTGGTGCGTTCTCGGCGCTCTCGGGCGTGCTCGTCCCGAAACTGCGGGCGCCTCTGGAGAAACACACACGCACAAGCACACACACAAACAACATACACACACACACACACGAAACACACACAACACACACCGTGGAGCAAAAACACAGTAGAAACACACACGTGTTTTTGTCCCACAGACTCGGAGCTCAAATCTCCAACATGCACTAAGATGGCCCCAATGGGCAGCCCTCGAATCCTCTTGGGGGCCTCTGGGGACGCCATGGAGGTATGGGGCCAACTCGACATGCCAAACTAGTAAGCAGAACAAGCTCCGTGTTTTTGCATGAGTTTCCTTCGGCTTGCCAGCGGTCAAAACTGAGCAAAAGGCCCTAATGATCGCTCCGAAACGGCACAGAAGCCACAAAGCGGGATCCAGGAGGCCCTCATAATGACCACTAGAGGGCTCCATCTCAAGTTGGCCCCCGAGACCGCCAAGGAATCCATGTATAGAACCGTCTCAAAATCAAACCAGGGGTGTCAAATAGAAAAGACGTGTCGTGAACATCATCATCATCATCATCAACATCTTCAAACTCGAAATGGTGACACACCATGTAAGGTGCCATTCCAACGGCAAGGAGCCGGCAATACAGCCACATTCGCATAAAGTCAGCATAAGCGGAGACAAGTTGAATTGAATGATGGATCAAACTGGAGAGATAGGTGGCCGATGGAACAAGAAAAGTCCACGCGCCCTCGGGGAGGGGCATGCAGCAAACGGGGGGCTCCTGAGTGCGTCAGACGAAAAGAATGGTAGGAGATTGCTCGATGTATCCGAGCAGCTACTGGGCAACGCGGAATCCTTCCTGAATGTATCGTTCACAGCGCACCGCCATCAAAACAATCAAGCTGACGGCGCGCTTTCATTCGCCAAGCTGTTGGCTAGCTTGGATCCTTCGACTCCATCTGTCATCGGCAATCCACAGAGAGCTGCCCCCCCCCACCCCGTGAACATAGTGCGAATCTCCTTCGTCCCGTTCAGCCAGCACTTGTTCTCGGGCGCCCCTGAAGGGGAGCGCGCAAGAGTTCCCAGACGCCACGCGAACAAATACTGCCCATGGGGGTAGCGGACATGAGAAGTGAGCGGGCACCACAAGAGCGCCGACACGGCGTTCGATTAAAAAACCGATCGTGGAGAGGACCTTGGATGGTAACAACCTCTCGCAAATTTCTCACAACCTGGATTGCAAGATCTCTATCCCAACCGCTACAATAATTGGAAGGAGGCTTGTATAATCCCACCAACCCTTTAGGGCTAAGGTGGTCTAGAGAGTCCCTTCCAAATCTCTCCTCTTCCAAACATCGCTTCCCGTCACCGAGGTTTACCCACCCCCCTCCTCCCTGAGGCTTCTCGGGGCGGGCCGAGAAGTGTTAGGGCGCCCACGATGGCCCAATATGGTTCAAGAGGGCCTCCAATGCTCCAAAGATGGTCATCAAGATGGCTCAAGACAGCCGACGATGATTCAAGGTAGCTTCCGACATAACTCAAGAGTCACCGACAATGGCCAAAAGACGGTTCCAAGTGATCCCAGAGCCCTCATCAGGACCCCCAAGAGGCCAAACCCCTTCAACAAGCCGAAGGAAAATCAGTGACGCTTGCCTTCTCGCCGGTTCGCTGCCGATGCGGCCTCAAGATGGCTCCGAGATGGCCCAAGAGAGGAACACGAGGGGCCCGAGAGGCCTCCCAGATGGCCCCAACAGCGCCTAAGAGCGCCGCAAGAGCGCCCCAAGATTCGATTTTGATGGCCCCAGGGGGGGGTACCAAACGTTCCGAACCCACCTGTTTGATCGATGGCCTCCAATATGATCCCAAGAGGCCCTTTCAGGCTCCCAGGAGGCCCCCAAGCGACCCCCAAGAGGACTCTAAGACCCTCCAAAAGAGTCCCAAGAGGACCTCAAGATCAAACAATAGCAGAAATCACGTCCCCAGAATATGTTCCGGTATAATTGAAAATTCCTCCTGTAGAGGGAGGTGCCCGACTTAAGGATCATGGAGCGGGCCCCTCTCCCCCCATGGAGACCGCTGCGCCAGAGCGACGGGCTCTCTCGCGAGAGAAAGAGGGCGCGGCACGGGCAGCGGCGCGCGTGCGCCTGAGCCCCCTGCCGAAGGGGAGACGATGTGCACGATGAGCGTGCAGACCGTGGCGAAGCCTCCCGAGCCCGATCCGCTGGCAGCGGAGGAGAGAGGCGCCAGGCAACGGCTCCGACGGGCGCGGCCTCTCGTAGAGCAGCGCTGCACGTCTCGCGTGCCGTCTTGGGCAGTGCACAGTCCAGACCTCGGCACGCACGCACGCACGCACGCACGCACGCACGCACGCACGCACGCACGCACGCACGCACGCACGCACGCACGCACGCACGCACACACACACACACACACACACACGCACGCACACACACACACACGCGCACACACGCACGCACGCACGCACGCACGCACGCACGCACACGCACGCACGCGCGCACGCGCACGCGCACGCGCACGCGCACGCGCACGCGCACGCGCACGCGCACGCGCACGCGCACGCGCACGCGCACGCGCACGCGCACGCGCACGCGCACGCGCACGCGCACGCACACACACACACACACTCGCTCGCACATGTTTTGGTCGTCGTGGGTGGGCGCATCCTCACGCCGTCCAGCCCGCGCGCGGGGAACCGCGCGCGCACCAAGCTGTAACACACACACACACATACACACATACAACTTGATTCCCTTTTGCAGTGACCACCCACTTGGATTGCCAAGCATTGCGCGCCGCCTGGCTGTTCGTTTGTCCGTCCGGTCGTCTGTCTGTCTGTCTTCCCGACTCCCTGAGCAGCGGCGCTTTGAGCCTCTCAGCTCAGGGCCGCGTCAGCCACGGCCGCCCTCTCCCTGGTCGGTGGCCCTGACAAAGTTGGGGCAGAGGGTGCCGAAACGCGCCGAGAGTCCAGCAAGGCATGAGGGTGCAAACCCCACTTGTCTGGCTGATGCTCTGGGGGGGCCTGTGCTCAGGGGAGTCTGCAACACCGCTCAACGATGTGATGTTTAATCGAACCTGCAGGGTGGGCCCTTTCCCAAATCCGTGCTTCGGTGCGGATCGTCTGCGTGCCTCGTCTCCGTCGTCGTCGTCGTTGTCGTCGGCGTCGAGGTCGTGGTGAGTGTTTCCCGAATGCAGTGGCCACCACCACCACACTCACACACTCACACACTCACGCACACACACACACACACACACACGCACACACGCGCACCTGGATACGAAATCGAAGCCGGAGGAGTCAGGGCGCTGACCGCCCGTCCAGAACACCGCGAAACTCAGGCACTCGCAAAGTCGAACGAGCTTGTCGGACGTTCGATGGACAACTCGGTTTGAGCTGAATCAGGTCGTGGTCGCTCAGGGCACACGCCCCCTCGCTCTTACATGCACATGCTGGGCATTACAAGCGCGAGCTCGCGCGTGAGATAGCACGGTGGAGATAATCATGTGCTGGAGAGGGCATCCCCTCTGCCGCCGTAAAGCGGAGGAAGAATGGGAAACCCGGCACGCACACATCTATCTATATACATATATATACATGTATATGTATATACATACTCTCTATGTCTCTCTCCCGGTGTGCTTGTGTGTGTGTGTCGACGATCCACGCGGAGACGAACACCTCCCGCTCTCGACCTGCCGCGTCTTCCTCGATCTGAGCGCTCTCGCTATCGTCAGCCCCCCGTCGAAGGAGCTGGAGCACGCCCACGCTGGACATCGCTAGCACTTGCTGCGCTGTCCGAGCTATCTTCCTCGACAGAGCATTCACGACTAAGCGGATGGCGTTGCTATCGCGGTCGCCACAACGAACACAGAAGGTGATCACAATGCGTACAGTACGCTCTTATGCTGGGTGACTTTACATAAGCATACCGCTTAACATTGCAACCTGATTGCAAAGGTTGGGCGTTCCCGGATGGCGAAACACGACGCACTGCCACGAGCGAGCCCACAGTCATGCACGAGATTAACATCGAACGTGTCAGGCAGCGGGCAGATAATGCGACATGCCCAAGCACTATGACATGAGCACTGCCATCCCCTGCCAGTGCAAATCAACGTCAGCCAGCAGACGCCAGCGAACAGCCCCCATGTTCTGATCTTGTCCTGCATCTGTGTCCACTTCCAATCAACTAAATGGTGTACCGCCATGATCGTGACAAAATTCAGCAACGCCATAATGACAGCTGTCAAGACCGTGACCCGCCAAATACAACCTCCACTCCACCGCACGCAATGCGTGCTCCGTCTGCCCCCTCCGTCAGAGTGTGGACTGATGCCATGGAAACTCAAAAGGAAAGCTGACAACAAAGTCAAGAGAGGTAAAGTTCAAGCAAGGATCAAGCTCAACAAACCTGCCCACCGACTACGAGAACACCCGCAATGAGATACTAAACGCAACTCTGAATCAGACGCTATACAAGCTGGGCGCTCATCGTTGACAACAATTCAGGAGTACTACAGCGTGATCGGCACCTCCAATATCGTCTCAAACCACTGTGAAGAAATGCCGACCCTTGCTGGAGATGATCCCGGATATTCGGCCTTGGCCAACGACACTCTGCAACCCATGGACTACAATGACTGGGGTGCATCGACGTGGGTGCAGTCGGCAATGTGCGGGGTGAGAAACCGGGCGCGGTCTGTTAGGGCAATGTGCAATCCATCGGGTGCATTCCACGGGGCAGCACGTACTCGATCGAATATCTGGGGTGCAATCGATCGGATGCCATGATGGGTGAGACCCAGTCAGCCAGTGGGTTCCTGTCAGCAACTTACCACTCATGAGAAAACCCTTCGGGACCCTGACATTGGACAACCCGTAGGCGACCTCACCACCCGACCACAAACAAAGAACAACAAATCGAGGAACCTCGCCATTGACAAGCACTGCTACCCGACGCCACAGAGAGAAGGAACCGAGAATCAATACCCGCTTCCTGCGCTGAGAGGGAGGGGTCCCAAAATGAAAGCCATGGCATGTGGCTCGGGGAGACGTAAGACTCGGGTCCGGGGGTCTCGGGTTGGCCTGACGGGGCCATCATAGAAATGACGAGACCAAATCTGAAATTTGACGCGAGCCCCCGCTGCAACCATCCCACGAAAACTGGACCGTCAGAATCCAGGGCGCCCTCGTCAAAAAAGTCGGCAAGCCCGAGTCCTGGCCTGCGCCGAGTCTTACGCTGCCCCCGAGTGGCGTGGCCCGGCGCAGTCCGGGAGGGAACGCCCGGCAGAGTACGTCGGGGCGCCGTGGAGACGCCGCCACAGGCAGCGTGCGCGAGCCGAGAACGGCGGGGCCCCGTCTGGGCACCACGAGGTCTGCAGCCAGGTCGGGCAGGTCCCCCTGCAGGCAGATGTTGGAGGAAGCAGCAGGACTAGTGAAAACAAAATGCTCCGAAATGGTCACGGGTAGTCCGGACGCCGTCCCCAGACTATTGTTTTGGACGGTTTTTGATAATGCCTTCTGTAGAGGGGCAGGGCCCGGCTCTAGTCGACAGGTTCCTCAGCAGGCTCTGCAAAACCACGCAGGGCGGATCGCCCAGTGCGCAAAGCGCACTGCACCCCCGAAGAGAAGCCCATAGCGCGAGGGCCCCTGAGCTCAAACACGTCAGCAGGGCGGGCGGTTCCATCAGACGGGCAGCCCGTTGCGGCCCTCGGTCTTGTGGACTCACTGGCGTCCCCTCGACGTCATCTTGCTCCCTTCTGTTTGCTGTATCATTCGTTTCGATCGTTGTTTCTATTGTTATTGTCATTGCTTATTTCATGTTCCATTATTGGAATTAAGAATATGTGTTTTCGTACTCTTCCTCCTTTCTCCCCAAGCTCTGCTTCCCCCGCCCTCTCCTGGCAAGCTCGAGCCCGCGTCGTTGTCAGCATTCTCGAGGCTGAAAGTGCTGAGGCGATGCCGGACATGTTCGTCGAAATAGTCCGAGCCAACCGAGATGCTCCTGGCCATTCCCATCCGGGATTGCTGTAGTGGCCTCGACGATGGAGACGCCTCCCGTTGCGAGAGCGGCAAGGCAGGGCGAGTCGCCAAGAGACGAGAGCAGTACATCACAAAGCATCATCGGCATGCTTACAATGCATGCTGTCTAGTGTTTGCCCACCCCATGTTGCGCACCGCTCGTCCGTGCGTTCGCTCACCCAACCTTCCTGTCCTTGCCTCATGCATACTGCATGATAACCTTGTGCCCCGGATAATCCATCATATCATATCCCCCCTCACCTCTGAGAGTTGATTCTCTCCGGCGAAGACAGGAGTTGGTCGGGGGAGAGTGGCGGCGAGGCTGAACATCATTATCTCGGGGGGAAGTTACGAATCGAAATTGCTATCTTCGCTCTATTAAGTGGCAACCTCATCACGTGCCCTCCCGAGGAACCCAGCCTCGTCGTCGTCGTCGACGACGACCTGCTCTTTTCTCACCGTAATTACCACGTACGACTTGCTGGGACAACTCGTTTACTATCCCCGCGGGGCTCCGAACTGTTTTACCACCCGGGTGTTATTCTCAGAGGGAATGGATTACTCTTAAGCGCACATGCTTGATGTACGACTCGGGGGTCAAGAGGCACATGGGAGGCTGCATGCTCTGCAAGCGCTTCTTGGCATGGCAAGGGAGCAAGCGAGAACAACCGCAACAACCAGACAGAACACGCGCAAGTGAGCCGCACGGGATGAAAAAGGTTGAGGAAAAAAAAGGATATTAGGGAGAAGGATGAGACACACAGGAAAAGGCGCATGAACGTGAAAAGCATAATACAAAAAGGAGGACAATGAGACAAGGGCAACAAAGCGGGAGAAACCAGAGTACAACAGAAAGACTCGCGGAGTTCTGACCGTGCTGAAGAAAAGGAGGCAAGGAGAAGGACAAGCGGACTCCTGACCGTGCTACAGAGAAGGAGGAAGGTACGGATGAGAATGGGAGGGAGACGGGCAAAAGAGAGAGAGCCACTGACAAGAGAGCTGGCCCCGAGCCATACTGAACGCGGGCGGCCCAGAGAGGGCTCGTGCGAGCGCGGATCTGGATCCTATCGCATCAGAGCTCCAGGCCAAGGAGACGTGGGGGCAACGCAGGGCACCGCCCCCCTCCTCCTCCTCCTCCTCCTCCTCCTCCTCCTCCTGCTCCTCCTCCTCCTCCTCCTCCTCCTCCTCCTCCTCCTCCTCCTCCTCCCCCTCCCCCTCCCCCTCCCCCTCCCCCTCCCCCTCCTCCTCCGGCTCCTGCTCCTCCTCCTCCTCCTGCTCCTCCTCCTCCTCCTCCTCTTCCTCAAGCGGGGAAGAGCAGGCCATGCTTCGAAAACGATCGCGGGAGGCGGCGCCATCACGCCGATGCCCATTGCCGTAGGAGCCACGGGGCCACAACGCTCCCTCGAGGGCGCGCGGCGAGAGGAGCCAGCCCCCCGTCGCTGACGGCAACGTAACTGACGACGACCACGTTGACGCTGACCACGTTGACGTCGACGACGACGACGACCACGACGGCGACGGCGACGGCGGTGGCGACGGCGGAGGCGACGACCACATTGACGCCGACGGCGACGACGGAGACGGCGGCGACTAGCCGGGCACTTATACACAGAATTGTCTTGCTGACCTCGAGATTTTCGGAGATCGAAGACAAACGGTGTGGACATTGTTGGCCATCCCGAAGCCTCCGCTTTCCAAGGATCTCGGGAGCCCATCTGGAGGTCTCGGCCCGTGACCCGGGTCGAAAGAGCACCCTGCCAGTGTATCTTTCCCTGGGAAGGTGCGGCGGACATGCTGGAGAGATGGTCTGAGGCTGCTCCGTGGTCTTCAGCGACATGTTCTGAAGATGATGGGAGCGTTTTCCACCACCACCACCATAAGTTGGAGGGGGGAAGAAGGAGGACGAGGAGGAGGACGAAGAGGAGGAGGACGAAGAGGAGGAGGAGGAGGGCACCCTCCCCCTCCAACTTATGGTGGTGGTGGTGGAAAACAGGCCCATCAGAAGAGTTCCTTGGCCCATGTAACTGAACTCGGCGGCTGCATTGAGTAGAAGGGACTCAATAGCTGCATCGGTGCGGCATGCAATCAGACGCGAACTCGGCACGGACGCCCGTATCGACGGCGATTGAACGGGCGCAGAAGACCTCCGCGAGATCAGGTACGGCCTGCTCAGCATGCAACGACCAAATAGCTGAACTTTGAATGAGCCAATGTTTGATGCTCCGGGGGCCCGAAACGCCCCCCCCCCAGAGGGGAAAATCTAGAAAGGAACCAGTATTGGACAGATCACGGCGTCCAAGGTGTGGGTAGAAGACGACGCTGACGAAGAACACCTCTGCGAAATTAGGTGCGGCCTGATTGGCACGGAGCAGCCCGCCGAATTCCGCATGCCGCCCCCCTGCAGGGGAAGCAAACCTTAACCTGATGGGTCTGTTTTCCACCCCCACCACCATAAGTTGGAGGGGGGAAGGAGGAGGAGGATGAGGAGGAGGAAGAAGACTGGGGGGGAGCAGGACCCCCTCCCCCCTCCAACTTATGGTGGTGGTGGTGGAAAACAGGCCCATCATAACCGATGCCGCTACTCCCACGACCTCTTCGGGGCGCGCCCTGACCAAGATTCCGAGGCGAGCCTAGCCGTGGCGACGAGGGCCAGGCAGAGGCATACCCACTGATGAGCCTGTTTTCCACCACCACCACCATAAGTTGGAGGGGGGAAGGAGGAGGAGGAGGGCGAGGAGGAGGAGGACGAAGAGGAGGAGGAGGAGGAGGAGGAGGAGGAGGAGGAGGACACCCCCGCCAACTTATGATGGTGGTGGTGGAAAACACGCCCATCACCCACATCCGGCATTTCTTTTTTCCGAAACACGGACCCCCCGACCTCTCCAACGCTTCCCCAAGACCGGTGCTTCATCCCGAGCGGTTTTGTTGACGCTCCCGAGGCCCGGTAGGGGGCCTGAGAGGCGAAAAACTATGTGAACGACTTCCGTCCCGACGTTTCCGAGGCGCCCAGCGTCTGGGCGACATTTGTGTGTCGCTCCTCTGACCTCCCGCCCCCGCCTCCGCCATCGGGTATCGCCGCTGCATGCCAGCCCCACGGCCGCGCGCGCGCGCGCGACCGGCGGGAGCCCCGGTGGCGGGGGCCCTCCCTCGCTCGACATGCTCTGCGCGAGCGGGCCCGGATCGACGGAGCTGCCGCAGTGGCGGCCTGGCGCCGCTGGGCCTGGAGAGGAAGACGGAACATCTCGAGCAGGGGATCGACTGCAAAACTTGGTTGTCAATTTTTTTGTTTTTGTTTTTTGGGTTCCCCTGTCGCATCTGTGAAAACTTGCATACAATCTGAGGTACACCTACAGAGCATGATTTGAATGCTGCGTAGGCTGCCCCATAGAACGCAGCCCCATCGTGTGATATCACGCCTCAGCCAGCACAGTGACAGAATTCGCACTGCCACTACAAAGAGCCCCCCCAAACCACACACACACACACTCCACACAGAGACCACATACACATACACACACGACAAGGCAAGGCAAGCCAGAAACCCAGCACACCCGGGGAAAACAATTCTGAGGTGTATCAGTTTTGCAGACGATCCCCTATGACCTGGCGCCGCTGGGCCCCAGGGGGAGGGCCGAAAGTGCGCAGGGGCCTCCAAGCGTGGGCGGCGCGGGGAGAGGATGCTTCTGCGGCAGCTCATCGTGCCGAACGAATAGCGCGCACCAGTACCCATAGGGGGGATGGAGGGTGCTATGGGTGCGCGTTATCGAGTAGGGGTCCCCGCTCGAACGGTAGCGCCCCCCAGGGCCCGATAACCCACACCCATACCCATAGCCAGCCCCCCTCCCTCCGACCCCTCTATGGGTATGGGTGTGTGTTATTCGTTCGTCACATCGGAGCGTCCCATACCTCCTGGTTGGACCCTGCGAATCGACGCTAGCCGACACGATCGACGCCCATCGACGCCATCGAATACTATTGAAGTGCGACTACGCGACTACATCCAATATTCGGAATACGACTACTACTTCAGTACCTTGGCACTACTACAGAGCTGATGCAGTACGACTACCGTACCACGTGTACTGCTACTACTACTACTACTACTACTACTACTACTACTACTACTACGGTGCTGTTTCCTCAGAGCTTCAAGACGGCAATACTACTATTGTGCTAGGGTGCTTCGCCATTGGAGCACGTCTACTACACGACTAGGAGTACGAGTGTTACAACCAGTACCAGAGTACGTATGCTGTTACAGTACCAGGGTACTTCAGCGCCATGTATTACTACAGCTCCATCACCCCTGATGCAGACCCAACGGTGCTAGTACTACGACTACTACGACTACCATTACTGCTACAACTACTGCTCCTACT